GCAGCATCTATAATTCCAACTTCTGAATTATCACTGATATCTAAATAAAAGTATTTACCTTCAACTTCAACTGATGTTACTAATTCACTGACCATAATATAATCATGTTGTATATTAGGTTGAGACTGAAGAATCTGATAGTATTCATTTCCTAAATCTAAGATTTTGTCTAAGGTGGAACTTTTCCATGATCTTACATTCATAATTTTTCTGTATATCATACACAGAAGGCTGTTCACAGTGCACTGTTTGCCGGCATAAAATCCATATCGTTCTATATTACCTTGATTAAAATTACCAGATATACATATCCTTTCAACTTGTCTCTTTCTACTTTTACTAGGAGATAACTTCTCTTTACTCTTCTCTTTACTAATGTTACTAAAAGAATTTATTACCTTGCTTTTCACAGGTATTTCTACTTTTTCATATGAAATTTCTGTAGGAATATCAGATTCATGGACTACAAGTAATTCATTGACATTTTCTTTTGAAACTTTATCATTAAATCTACTGGCTTTAGAATTTGATTTTGCAACATATTCGTGATCACTGTGATCTACAATTTTGGTACATTTATCATCAGCACTTTTTCTATTTTTGCTTATATTAGCTAACAAAGCAGCTTTTGATTTCTTTGGACGACCCATATTGATTAACTTTTCAAAGTAATACAAAAAGAAGTGTAAAACTTGATTTCTCTAGATAATTTAAATGAAATGGTTGAATACTAACTAGATCTCTCTAGATAAACTAGATTTCTCTAGTAATAAAAATTGAGATATGAATAGCAACTAGATTTCTCTAGTAATAAAAATTGAGATATGAATAGCAACAAGATTTCTCTAGTAATAAAAATTGAGAAATGAATAGCAACTAGATCTCTCTAGATAATAAAAATTGAGTTTTGAATAGGAACTAGATTTCTCTAGTAATAAAAATTGAGATATGAATAGCAATTAGATTTCTCTAGATAATAAAAATTGAGATATGAATAGCAACTAGATTTCTCTAGTAATAAAATTTGAGATATGAATAGCAACTAGATTTCTCTAGTAATAAAATTTGAGATATGAATAGCAACTAGATTTCTCTAGTAATAAAAATTGAGATATGAATAGCAACTAGATTTCTCTAGTAATAAAAATTGAGATATGAATAGCAACTAGATTTCTCTAGTAATAAAAATTGAGATATGAATAGCAACTAGATTTCTCTAGTAATAAAAATTGAGTTTTGAATAGCAACTAGATTTCTCTAGTAATAAAAATTGAGATATGAGTAGCAACTAGATTTCTCTAGTAATAAAAATTGAGTTTTGAATAGGAACTAGATTTCTCTAGATAATAAAAATTGAGATATGAATAGCAACTAGATTTCTCTAGTAATAAAAATTGAGATATGAATAGCAACTAGATTTCTCTAGTAATAAAAATTGAGATATGAATAGCAACTAGATTTCTCTAGATTCTTTGGCTCTGTTAAAGTAAAAGTTCGCCACACTTTCACCGCTTAGTTTTGAGTATTTTGGCTCTGTTAAAGTA